CCCCCCCTCCCCCCCACCCACCACTCCACATTTTCTATTTTTTCTACCCCTAAATAATGCATATCCATTTAAATTAACAGCCCAATCAAGGGTTTCATTTTACTAATGATCCAATACTGTTCCTTGTTTACCAGTACCCAAGCTCCCCCATTTGGTTACACTATCTTCTTCACTAGCAATTACTCATTGAAAGTTACCATATCTCTGTACTTTATTTGAAAAATTGCACTCTCTTCTGATTGTACCACTCCTCCTGTCTCCACTTTACTGGACTTCACATTAATTCCATCTCCTTTCTATACTAATTAACAGTGAATCTCCTCCTAGCTTTAATAAAAAAAAACAAAAAAAACAGCTATATATATTTTTTTATATATATAAAAAATCCTAACGTGTACGAGTGCTTATTACAAGAAATGGTATATATATATATGTGAATATTTGATTTTACATTTTTCAGCTGCTATCACACTGTGATGTGTTATCTTCCCATACTTTACTGAGAGGGTAGTGGATGCATGGAATAGCCTTCCAGCTGAAGTGGTAGAGGTTAACACAGTAAAGGAGTTTAAGCATGCGTGGGATAGGCATAAGGCTATCCTAACTATAAGATAAGACTAGGGAGTAATGAGAGTATTTAGAAAATTGGGCAGACTAGATGGGAGGAATGGTTCTTATCTGCCGTCACATTCTATGTTTTTATACACATCCCAACAAAGAAAACGTAAACCAAAAAACAGTGTAGCACTTATTACCGATAGAAAAGTGTGAAATAAGTAGAAACAACAGGTTACCTTGAGATATCTTTATTAACCTCAATGGGAGAGTCTTTTGGGAAAAAAGATCTTAGTACATTTAAATAAACAAAAAATGGATACAATAGTGGATAACTGTGTGGAAACTGAGACAATTGAACACTCACATTTTCGTGAGCTGAAACACTTAGCTCTAATGGAGGCAGCGTATACACTATTGTATCCATTTTTTGTTCATTTAAAGGTACTAAGATCTTTTTTTTGAAAAAAAATATTTCATTCTTTATTTTTGTCGTGCAAAGAATTGGTACAATAAACATGCGGTGCCACAATAGCGTAACCGTTACATACATAACAAGACATAGGTATGGCATACATATTACATGCACATAATTTGTGTTGTTGGTTGGTATCTTGCTGTCCAGGCCGTATGCGAGACTTAGTGTGTGCCTCGAGTGGGATACATCACTTGTTCCCTTGTGGAGATGGTAGTTATCTGAGCCGCTGCGGACTCCACTTCGTAGTGTAGGCTGCTCATCTGGGGTGGGCTGGGCTAAGGTGTCAGCGCTGCGTGTACTATGGGTCTGCGGCTAGGGTGCATGTTGTGGGTATCTGCACTGTTCAGGTGGTTAGTTGTTTAACCTGGCCTGTACCTAGCTGTTAGGTGTGAGTGTTACGCGCCCCTCCGCTGCCTCCTAGTTTGTCCTCCTGTGGTCATCTAGAGCCGACGGGGGGAGATTTCAATGCATGTCCTAGTGCATGTTCTAAAGATTAAGAGAGCAGAGAAGTATCAGTGCGTGTGCTCGTTTACATAAGGCATGGCATGAACAAACTAAACAAAAAAAAAAAAATTCAACTGATAAGAGAATTAACTGAGGTGTCATTAAGTTGCGGCTATCAAGCCAATGGTACATAGTCCCAATAGTTACTGTCTGTGGTCTTCAGGTCCTTGGGGGTCTTCAGGTACCTGCCACTTCAGAGGAGCCCTGTCTGGGCTGTCGCGGTACAAAGGTTTTGACCCGCTCGGGGTCCCATCCATGTGGCGTATCTGCGTTTGCTGGTGTTGCCGTGCTGCACATAGCCTCCTGAGATAGTCCCAAAGTGTGTGACAGGTCTTGTGCTCCTTTTAGATTGTAGACTGTGTGTTTACCCTCTCCTGTCAGTACCTGTAGGGAACGGTCTAGGCGTCATCTGTATTGTATGTTCTGTTGCCTGAGGATTGTGGTGAAAAGCTCGAATGACCCCCTTCATGCCAAAGTACTACCTGACAGGTCTGCAAAAAATAAAAGGGAGTGTCCTTCGAATGTAAAGCCAGCTTGGTTCCTGACTGCCGCCAGTATTGCGGCCTTGTCTTTACGATGTTGAAAGCGGACTATGAGGTCGCGTGAGGCCGTTGTTGGTGCTCTGGCCGGTTTTGAAATCCTGAATATGCTTTCAAGATGGATGACTTTGGCCACTTTCGGTGTAAGCTGTTCTGTCATGAGTCTGCGCACATAGTGCGGTAGCTCCTCGGTTGGTATATCATCGGGTATCCCCCGTACCTTTATGTTAGCTGCTCGGCGGGTGTCCTCCACAGTGGCGAACCGCCGGTCAAATTCTTCGTTCCTACTCTGCAGGCTCTTGATTTCTGCTTGCATGGAGGTGATGCAGGCATCTTGCGCAGCGGAGATGTCCTCCAGGGCACTCATCCTCCCATTGATTCCCAGAAGCTCCGTGCGGAGGGCGGCCATATCCGCCTGTAGCGTGGTCTGGAGGCCTGCCAGCAAAGCCTTCAGCACAGCCGTTGTGACCGGTGCGCAGTCAGGGTGCAGGGGTTTTGTCCCGACCGCATGGAAGCTTGGTGTATCGGGTGTGTCCTCCCCCAGGGAGAAGTCATCGGAGTAGTCCGAGTATGTTTCAGTGTGGTCGGCCATCTTGGGCCTTATTGTTCCGTGGACTTGTCTCCACATGGCCCCAATATCTTGGCTCTGCCTCGGCTGGTCAGGCCTCTGTTTTTTAGATTTTCGACCCATGTCGGTTCTGCAGTCGCTTCTCTGTACTAAGATCTTTTTTTCCCAAAAGACTCTCCCATTGAGGTTAAGACAGGTATCTTAAGGTAACCTGTTGGTTTTACTTATTTCACACTTTTTTCTAATCGGTAATAAACGCTACACTGTTTTTTGGTTTATGTTTTTTTTTTTTTTATAGCAATTCCTTCACTTGCATTTATATCTGCACCCAAATTAGGCATTGGAACAGGTTAGTAATTTATGCAGAATAAAAAGGACAGAAAGTAGATAAAAAGCTCATGAGATATTTAGGAGGTGAATAAATGAATACATTCAGTCACCACTGAGTGGCGCTGTTTGAGCAAATATACATTTTCAAACTGTTCTTATATGGCAATATATTGAGCTTTTCACTAGTTTTTAAATATTTGTTCTGTCTGATATATCACCTGCAACTGCCAAGACAGACTTGAGAAGTCCACCGTGGGCACAAAAATGCTGAAAAATCATGTTCACATTTCTGCAGGTGCCCGTAGCAATGGAAAGATTTCTCTTCTTTTTTACCTTTTAGTTGCTTGTTTTTAAACCAGAGGTATGCGTACCCAGGTCATACACGCACCAAAGGCAGCAGAACTGGCAGACAGGTGCCTACTGTGATACAGTGCCTGGGGGGAGATTGGAGGCAGAGGTGGCGAGGGAGCTGTAATCTTCATGAGCACTGCTCCCTTGCAGTGATGCCGGGAGCCAGGTCATGACATCACTCCGACCTTGGCGTCACTAAACAGCCAGCAAGGGAGCAGTACTGGAAGACAATGAAAATTACACAAGCATGACACTAGACCCCAGGAAAAGGATCCCCACTGGACCCCAGGATAATGATCCCTACTGGACCCCAGGGAAAAGATCCCCACTGGACCCCAGGGTAATGATCCCTACTGTACCCCAGGGAAAGGATCCCCACTGGACCCCAGGGAAAGCATTCCCACTGTACCCCAGGGTAATGATCCCCACTGGACCTCAATGAAAGGATCCCCACAGGACCACAAGGTAATGATCTCTGCTTGACCCCAGGGAAAAGATCTTCACTGGACCCCAACGAAAGGATCCCCACAGGACCCCAGTGTGATGATCCCTGCTAGACCCCAATGAAAGGATTCCCCACTGTACCCCAGGGAAAGGATCCCCACTGTACCCCAGGGAAAGGATCCCCAGTGTACCCCAGGGTAATGATCCCCACTGGACCCCAGGGAAAAGACGCCCACTGGATCTCAATGACAGAATGCCCACTGTACCGCAGGGAAAGAATCCCACTGTACTCCAGGGAAATGATCCCCAATGGACCCCATGGAAAGGATCCCCACTGGCCACCAGGGAAATGATCCTCACTAGTAAAGGATCCACAGTGTACCCCAGAGAAAAGATCTCCAGGGAATGGATCCAGTCCAGCTCTCCCCCAAAAAAATAATTAAAAAATAATAATTTGTGTGTGTGAGAGAGTGAGTATATGTCTGTCAGTGTCCTCTATGTGTAACTATAAAGTGTGTATTATATTTTCATTTTGTGACTTTCATACTTCAGATTAATAGTTTGAACACTAAGCCTTACATAGACAATATTCACATGATGTCATATTTATGTCAAAAATATTCCTTTGGGCTATTGCCGTGGTGCCAATACTGGTCTAGAAGTTGAAGTCTCCGTAGGAACGCATGAAACTTAATTTCTTCATGAAAGAACTATGAAGCGAATAATGACCTTTACTGGCCTTATTGTGAATATAAAGTCTATAATGTAACAAGAATTTAATCTACTAGCTATGGGGAGTATATATTTTTTTTTAGAAGTTTATAAACTAAACGCTGAACTGAAAATGAAATTGCACAATTTAGGGTTAAATAGATCTAGTTGAATCGGACAATTTTTCTAGATCAGTTATTTCTGCCAAACCTTTGCTATTGCCATTTCGGTTGCCTACATTTTGTAAGCAGTCTTGCGTATTTCTTGAACACAATATGTCTTCAGGGGAATGTGATGGCTCGAGTGGCTTTGCTGCTTCTAGGCATGAAAGCTTTGCCATCAGTGAAGGATCTATGGTTATCAGAAAATTCTATAATGAGAATGTTCGGCCCATGAGCTGATGCGGCCATAAAAATGATCATGTATAAGATGATGATTTCACAGAGACAATACGTGCAAAAATATGTTTTGTATCTCTGAATAAACAAGTTAAGATTTAGATTTTTAATTCCATCACAATGCTCTGTTAAGACGTAAAGGTTCCATGCAAGGAAGGTTTAAAAATCACCAATCTGAAACAGCTAAGTAGGAATGGACCAAATTTAGTCAATATCAATATAGATGATGGACATTTAAAATCAGCTGTGTATAAATAAACACTGACAAAGCATTATGTTTGTTTGCCTCTTTTTTAATGCGATTATTGAGTTTATTATGGTTATCTTGATCTTTATCATCTGATTACACTGTAGGTGTGAGATGTGTGACAATTCGAAGGAGTTCAGAAACCTTTTCCTGCCATCGAGGCTACTAAACCCATGATGCTGAGCTATACTCACCCTTTCTAATACAGCTACAATTGTGTATTAAACTGCGCTCTGCGCTGGAATAAAAACAAAGCCGATAATATGGTTATAGTAAATAAAGTCTAAGCAAGAATCGAAGCACGCTTAAAAAAACACCTACAGTTCTGTTTATTTACATAAACAGTATTAATACAAATTATAAATTAAAATCAGTGTAAACAATAGTGTTTTATCTCGTAGAAGAGGAAAATGGTTAATTGTTGATTTCACAGGGTCTAAGAAACATCCAACTGCTCAACAATTTCTCCCATCTTCTCATCAGGAAAACGGAGAAGTAAAATACAAATCCCAGAAAATCACATTGCACGTTTAAAGGAACTGGTCTTCGAGTTTGGGGAGAGGATTTAAGATAATCGAGGCTATTCTATTAACCTGAAAAAATAAAGAAATACAATTAGTGAATCCTATAAATACATGGGATTTATGTTTATTAAAAACCTAACAGTTTATAAAAAGTTGTCATATTAACTTATTAACGCTTATTTACTGTTAACCCATTAACTGTTAACCCATTTACTGTTAACCCATGTACTGTTAACCCATTCACTGTTAACCCATTAACTGTAAAGCACTTTTTGTTTTTAAAAACATAATATTATAACACATTATACGTGGGATTTTCACAAAATAAGATAGCATAAGTTCTAATGGTCAGAGGAACATTAAACCTGAGATATGCCTACCAGACAGAAAGAGGGGCGAAGAGGTAAGTGTCACCCCTACCACCCAGACATTACTACACAGCACTAATAATCATATTGTGAGAATGTGATGCTTAGAGAGCAAAACACACCCAGTACAACAAACCTAACAAAGTGCACGTAACACCTACGGTGGCACACCTAATCCACACATTGCACTATATGCATATTGGAGCATTGATTGTCTTTTGAAAAATATAAACCCACCCAGAATAGCTAACTGTAACATAGCCTATATACTGCACCTAACATGTATGGAAGCCAAGAGTCTTCTTTAAATAATATAAACCCATCTAGTCTGTCTGTCTGTATATCTACCGACTGACCAACCTAAATACCGATTGATCAACCTATTTATCTAGTCTGTCCTCTTCTAGAAAAAGTGAGTATAAGGCCTAGATGTATTTATTTAGCATTGTAAAGGTATACTTACTCTCCCTTGTCCCCCTTTTCATTTTTTTCCTTACGACATGTCCCACAGATGCAGCCAAACAGACCATTTAACACCTGAACAGCGCACAGAATAATTTCAATTCCAGTTGCCACCAAGATAGTAGAGAAGAGAATGACATTGAACATCACCACATTTCGGGGTGCCAAACAGATGTTCCAGGTATCGGGATGAAACAAGTAATTGTCATCGCTGGGAGATAATGGAAAAATAATGGTAACGGTAAAGGGATCACAAAAACTAGCATATATATATTTTTTAAATTTTATATCATTTATATGTAAATGAGGTTGTGGTCTATCCATCTAGTATTGTGTGTAAATAGAGTTACCTTGGAATACTCAGACCTCTAATTTAGAAAAAGAAAACCAGGCTAATGACCAACTATAAAAGTATATATAAATAGCAACATCTTTAAAAATGATTGTTTTTGTTCAGATGCTGGTCATTAACAAAGTCTATACAGACAAAGCGTATGAGACATATAGCATGTGACATTATGTCCATGTGGGACTTCCGAAGACCACCGGTGCAGTTGTGTAGAAGTCCATTATCATGCTACCTATATCGTTCACTGCACAGCATTGCGTCTCTCACCATTACTGCACATCAACCCTCTCCATCTATTCGAGGAGACCATAGCTTTCTTGATACCTCTGGTCACTTTGTTTCCACCTACAATGGGATTAGGGCAATTGCTCCCTAGCTATTGTCAACTGAACTTTGTTGATTGAGTCAATTTCTATCAATATATATGAAAAAACTGAAAATAGAGTCAGCGCTAATATATCAAAAAGAAATACACAAGGCAGCAATCCCAAACAAGGACTCCCTCACGTGTTAAGCTCTACAAACAGTGAGTATAATCTCTTAAATTTTAGTTGGATACCTCTTGGATCACCCTGTACCACTATTATTTTCATCACTCATCGCCCTCCTCCATATACCTGTAAGGAGCGGAACTCTACAACTCCAGAGACCAACCTAGGATCTAAGTGCCATTATACTGGACTCCGTCTCATTATTATTATATCAATAAGGACTTTAATTTATTTACCTTGCCTACTGGCGCAGTCCCATCCTTCTGTCTGTTTGCCTCTATCAATATATGTGCTTTATTTATTCTGAATTTTTATTAATAAATACAGTTGCAAGAAAAAGTATGTGAACCCTTTGGAATGATATGGATTTCTGCACAAATTGGTCATAAAATGTGATCTGATCATCATCTAAGTCACAACAATATATCCATAAATACAATACCGCACTCAAAAAAAGTAAGAATCAATTAATATATATATGCCAAGAAAATTAATTTATTATACAAAAACTATTTATAAATTCATGAGTGAGTAATGAGAAATGATTTCCTTATAAATTCATCAATTTAAACAATTTCATCGTATATACATCCCAATATATATACAATTATTTACAATCTGTGTACATATGGAGTTCAAGTTCATAGATGTTTTCAGGTGGATCCACCACTAAGTAGTTTTGTATGAATGAAAAAAACTGTGAACACAGTAAAAAAACTAAAGAAAAAATATAGGGAAAAAAAATATATAACTGTATGTCAAAATAAACAGTCCAATTGCATGTAATGAAAAAATGATGAGAGTCAGAAAAAGAAAAAAAGAAAAAATAATAAAAAAATAACAATCAATCAAAAGTAAATGCAAAAAAAGAGAAGAAGTTGGTTTGGTCTCACAACAATAGACAATCACAGTCTGCTTAAACTAATAACACACAAAGAATGAAATGTTGCCATGTTTTTATTGAACACACCATGTAAACATTCACAGTGCAGGTGGAAAAAGTATGTGAACCCCTAGACTAATGACATCTCCAAGAGCTAATTGGAGTGAGATGTCAGCCAGCTGGAGTCCAATCAATGAGATGAGATTGGAGGTGTTGGTTACAGCTGCCCTGCCCTATAAAAAAAACACACACCAGTTCTGGGTTTGCTTTTCACAAGAAGCATTGCCTGATGTGAATGATGCCTCGCACAAAAGAGCTCTCAGAAGACCTACGATTAAGAATTGTTGACTTGCATAAAGCTGGAAAGGGTTATAAAAGTATCTCCAAAAGCCTTGCTGTTCATCAGTCCAGGGTAAGACAAATTGTCTATAAATGGAGAAAGTTCAGCACTGCTGCTACTCTCCCTAGGAGTGGCCGTCCTGTAAAGATGACTGCAAGAGCACAGCGCAGACTGCTCAATGAGGTGAAGAAGAATCCTAGAGTGTCAGCTAAAGACTTACAAAAGTCACTGGCAAGTGCTGACATCCCTGTTAGCGAATCTACAATACGTAAAACACTAAACAAGAATGGATTTCATGGGAGGAAGCCACTGCTGTCCAAACAAAACATTGCTGCACGTTTACAGTTTGCACAAGAGCACCTGGATGTTCCACAGCAGTACTGGCAAAATATTCTGTGTTGAGTTGTTTGGAAGAAACACACAACACTATGTGTGGCGAAAAAAAGGCACAGCACACCAACATCAAAACCTCATCCCAACTGTGAAGTATGGTGGTGGGGGCATCATGGTTTGGGGCTGCTTTGCTGCATCAGGGCCTGGATGGATTGCTATCATCGAAGGAAAAATGAATTCCCAAGTTTATCAAGACATTTTGCAGGAGAATTTAAGGCCATCTGTCTACCAGCTGAAGCTCAACAGAAGATGGGTGTTGCAACAGGACAATGACCCAAAGCATAGAAGTAAATCAACAACAGAATGGCTTAAACAGAAGAAAATACGCCTTCTGAAGTGGCCCAGTCAGAGTCCTGACCTCAACCCGATTGAGATGCTGTGGCATGACCTCAAGAAAGCGATTCACACCAGACATCCCAAGAATATTGCTGAACTGAAACAGTTCTGTAAAGAGGAATGGTCAAGAATTACTCCTGACCATTGTGCACGTCTGATCTGCAACTACAGGAAACGTTTGGTTGAAGTTATTGCTGCCAAAGGAGGTTCAACCAGTTATTAAATCCAAGGGTTCACATACTTTTTCCACCTGCACTGTGAATGTTTACATGGTGTGTTCAATAAAAACATGGCAACATTTCATTCTTTGTGTGTTATTAGTTTAAGCAGACTGTAATTGTCTATTGTTGTGACTTAGATGATGATCAGATCACATTTTATGACCAATTTGTGCAGAAATCCATATCATTCCAAAGGGTTCACATACGTTTTCTTGCAACTGTAGCTATATAACATAGAAAAACATAAAAACATAGAATGTGATGGCAGATCAGAACCATTTGGCTCATCTAGCCTGCCCAATGTTCTAAATGTTATGCCTATCCCACGCATGCTTAAGCTCCATGCATCCACTACCCTCTTAGTAAAGTAATACTTTCTGATATTATTTTTAAACCTTTGTCCCTCTAATTTAAGACTATGTCCCATTGTGGTGGTAGTTTTTCTTCTTTTAAATATAGTCTCCTCCTTTACTGTGTTGATTCCCTTTATGTATTTAAATGTTCCTATCATATCCCCCCGTCTCGTCTTTCCTCCAAGCTATACATGTTAAGATCCTTTAACCTTTCTTGGTAAATTTCTATTTATAATTTTACTTCCATTAGTTAAGCGCATTACATTTTTCTATGTTGGGGCAATATACATCACGTATTGTATATAAATGGGTTGATGAGAGATGTTCAACTCATAGTATGTGTAGATGGAGTTGGGAGGGGAAGGCTACCTTGTATGGTATGCCAAAGGATGTAAGTGAAAGCACAACTTGTAGGTATATGGGGTGGGAGGCGTAAGAGACACAAAACATGAAACCACATCTATTCACATAAGTGACAATTCATTCACAGACACACTACATTCATAAATCCGCACACCTCATGGATTTACACATATATTGACACCCTGCAGACATACATTCATATGCTATATATTCCCATCTTTCTACATATAGAAATTAGCTTACATTCCCACTGTGCATTCAAAGAAACACAGGTATTTACACACTACACAAAATGCACATGCACGAACAACTGGAAACACCCCTGACAATTTTGTGTCTACAGTTGCCTGAGCTGTAAATGTGGCCCTGGCTGAATATCTTAATACATGTTGGTATTCATGTAGAGATTGCAAACATCAGACAAAATCCTCACATGTTACATGGAATCCCTGTTGTGTTGCTTGGCCAACAAGCCAGTATATCTCTTGGGCTATCCGACCCTCACTTTTTTCCCCCCTTCAAACCACAACATATTAAACTGTGGAAATAAAATGCTAAATTCTATATTCTATACAAAAATAATGATGTTCATGTTTTTTTATGTTCGTTATTGTCCGGTTCCCACATTTAGGTCCCTACCTGTGTGTAGATGTCAGATTGTAATAGTTCATTATCTGGTTTGATATGAAGATGTCCATTTATCTTGGAATGATGTCTATCATTAGAACATTTTTGATGTTTATATTATGTTTTCAATTAATTAAAAATATACTTAAGCAAAGTTTTAGCTTGTTAAATCAATTGAAATGGACCTCATAGCGGTGGACTTTTCAATAAATATTCTACTTCTATTGAAAAAAAAAACCCTTGCCTTTGACTCCTTTTTTTGGACTCCCAATATTGAAAGTTAGAAATAATGTATTACATAATCATAAAACAAGTTATAATAAGACTGCAAGCCACTGCGTTGCAAAGGGTATTCTGTCTGTTGTGTGTACCTCAGTTCTTCCAGCTCCCCATCAAAGGGACGACCCCAGACAAGTGACCCATTAGTCGGTTTGATTATATTGTCATCATTAGAAAAAGTTGGATTAAACTGACAGACCGGTCCTCGCAGCAGCCCAATGAGGGACATAAGAAAGCCAAATAATGCTCCACCAAGTCCAATAATCGAAAATGCAATGGACAGGAACATCTAAAGTTAAAATAAATAATGATTTTATTTAATTAGCTAGTAACATCAAGCTTATGTTAGATTTTTGTTTTTATTTAAGTGTACCTCCCAGGATATAGGTGTTACTTGTACCCAGTGGTACTCATTTTATTTACTGTGGAACGGTAAATAAAGACTGAGTTGATCTTGCTGGGAGCTGAACCTGTAACCTTGAGTTTTGACAAGTTACTTGGGATTCTGCACATCTGGTAACTTTGGCAGGTCTGACATTGATTGGGTGGGACGTGGTCAGTGAGTAGATGTCTTCATGATGGAATCAACATCATGGGCAAAGCACACACTCTCCAAAATGACAGCGTGTCTATACATTGAGCGTTAAAGCTTTAGCACTTGTGTAAGGGCTTAAAATATAACTCACTAAGTGCTCTATGAGCGTGATTAAACAGGTGCATGTGGTACACTTTATATCAGCTCTCCCAACAAAGGGGGACAATTCAAGCCCGTCTGGTGATCGGAAGTACTGAGGGAAAAATTTGGTGTCACCAGAGTCTGAAAAACAAGAAATATTCAGAGTACCATTTTTTCATTTAAGAAGTCGATCCTGTGCCTGGAAGGTCTGGACCTTGTAACAGATCGACAAGTATCATAGATCTGATCCATGGACTTAATTAACAGACTATATTGCTACGTATTATGGAGACTATGGACCCTGTAATTTGTAGACATCACCCAATAAATACGGATGTTCTAATGTAAATCTTTCTTTAAAGACATTGCTAGTTCCGTGTGACCATATAACTGATCTCATAAATAGACACAAATCCCAATAACAGTTATTAATGATAGGATGTAGACCCCCCTTTCCCGTGGTTGCATGCTTTATCGTTGGGTCATACTGTAATAACTCTGTTGGACACACTGTTTCATAGAGTGGCTTCTTACCCCACAGCGGTTGTTACAACAGCCCTTTCGTCCTGTCGCCTGAATATGAACTGCGGAAATTAGGACCTGTCATAGAAACAGATTGAATGTTTAATGCATGAAGACAAGTAATATTAGCAGATACTAACTGAATCCTTCATTCCAAAATGGATGTCTAAAAACAATTTATAATAAGGATTTATATTTCCAGACTGAAATATTTGATTATACAGTACATTGCTGGTTCCAGAGATGGGACAAATGGACGAACGGATGGATGGATGGATCATTTTAAAATGACTGGTTCCACCTTAGGTAGAAAATATGATATGGTGTGCCGGAAATAATGTGATTAAAATATATGCATTATGTTGGTCTCTTATAGTAAATAAAATCTTCCCCTATGGTAAGTTATTTTGAGCTTTGTGACTCTAAAAATATATGGTAAATCATTGCTGACCACTGTCCTCATTACAAAAGCTGTGCTCTTACCAATAGACCGCCACCAACAATCCCACCGACACTCCTCACTTCTTGGGTGATCTGCTCCCCCGCATTTACAATGTATTCTGTACTCCAGTCCGGGAAAAACATCATAAGATTGGCAGTGATGCAGATGAGGATCAAGGGGTACAAGGACACCCCAATAAACTTAGAACACTTTCCAGTACACATGATGGTGAGTGAGATGATTAAAGAGAGACTATTAGGAAAGGCTCTAGCCTTAGGAGCAAAGCAAGTCTTTTATAAGAGGAACCTATCCAGCTAGCAGATAAGGGATCCCAAGTCACGAGGCTCTGGAGTTTGAACTTAGCATCAAGTCAAGAGATAACATGAAATCATATGACAAACAACACTGTCATATTAGGATATTTATTATGAGGGGTGTGGGATATACAGTGAAAATATGTACATTCATTAAGCATTCTAGTTGGAGAAGAAAATATTTAATCACTTAGATTAATAATGACCTGTAGTAAAATGTTTAATAGAGACCTTTGGCAGTTTTCCATATGCCGTTGATGAGGTAATAATGATCTATTTAAATAACCTCTGATAAGTATTTAAAGTGGAATTTTCAGCTCTGAAGCTATGTAACAACCCAACAGATAACAATAATATAACTCGTCAGGATTTATATTCACTTTTGGCCATATAGTGTACACGTACTACATCATGGGAGGAGGATCGATAGTGTGGAATGTTTCCTACTGTTTTATACTGCCTTAATCACCCCAGTAATCACGTCAGCAGGATTTGCGGGGATGTCTCAAGCAATAACTGCTACCAACTGTTTCCACCTTGAGAATGAGAATTCCATTTTTTTTTCTTTTCAATTTGACAATTTTTATTTTCAAATAAAATAAAACTTGGGATACAGAAGAGAGAAGGGGGGTAGGGTGGGACATCATATATTGTCATCATACAGTTTATCCGTTGCTACATGGTACAGTAGTATACAATGACATGTTATACATTTTGTTCGTCCTGGACTTGCCCTCTAGTATTGGGTTCTGGGATCTTCCTTGCTCCTTATCCTTGTAAGCGTACCCCTATGGTCCCTAACGGAGTGGGCTCGAACTGCTTTGCAGTGATTTAAGTGTGTGCTTCTCATTTTGTGTTCTCTTTAAGTTATCAAAGTTATAAGCCCTCCGTGTCTCCCCTCTAGTATCCCGGTGAGGGAGGGGGGTGGAATAGCTGGTGGGGTGGGGGGGGAGAAAAGTGAGGGTGGGTTGCGAGATCAGGGTGTTGCCCTCCTCCCGGTTCTGTCCTCTTGTTGATTTTAACCCTATACCCTTGTACTACTATCTACCCCTATCTATCTTCTCGGTCCCCTCTGGTCTATATCCCTTGGGCTCCATCTTGTACGCCTGGGGGCATATACCTGTTGTATTGCAAAGTCTCCTTGGGGGGTCGCACTAGTGGTTTGGGGACTATTCGCTGTCCTCTTGTCTCGTGGGGGCATGTATGGCTTCCCAGCTAAGTTGAGCTTCCTCAAATCTCTGGCTGTTGCCGTAGGTTTTCCTCGCTACCGTTTCGTATTGTATATTAGTAGAGATCTGCTTTATTAGGGCGCGTTTTGTCGGTGCTGTTATAGTTTTCCATTCTCTAGCTATGAGCGTCAGGGCTTCTGTTAGTATATGGAAGATCAATATTGTCCCACTCCCTTTGAACTGGCCCAAATCCATAAATAGGAGGCACATTTCTGGGGTAATTGTGACGCTGATGTCTACAACCTCTTTAATAATGCTCTCTACCATCTCCCAGTAGGGACGGATCACCTCGCACGTCCACCATATGTGGTACATCATGCTCTCCGTCACCCCACATCTCCAGCACTGTGCAGATGTTCCTGGGTATATTTTTGCCAGTCTGGCTGGCACCATGTACAATATATAATACACTTTCCTCATTAATTCTAGGTGTGTTGTACACAATGTCTTCCCCTTGTGTGCCGTTACTGCTTTTGCCCATTGGGTTTCATCGAATTGTTTTC